CCCTTGTGGTAATCCACAGAGTAGTATCCTTGTTACCCCTGAACTCTGGCTGGGGAACGGGTACAAGGGACTGACCAGTGATGTTAACTTGCAAAGGTGATCGCTGACAACAGGCTTCAGTCCAGGTCCTCACGCTCCATGAGGCCTCTCTCATCTCTGTCCTGCAGTAAGTACTGCACACCCTCCGTACTGACCTCTGAGGGTCGTTTTCCTTGTGTTTAAAAAGCGGAGATATTACTACGACCTTATGGCTTTGTTTTTGGCTTAAGAGAGGAAACAGGTGTTGTGTATGTTGTGAACTGCAGTGCCTGGCACCTAGTAAGTGCTTAGTAAACTTCATTTGGGGGGTGGGAAATCATCCAGCTCCATCCTAGAAGCAATTTATTTCTTATGCCTTATTTTTATTTATTTGTTCCAGCAAGGAATTACATTCCTGTTTTCAGGGAAAACACCCTAGGAGAGGGTGGAGAAAGTGGAAGGGGGCTGCCAGGTTCTCAGCCCCCGTGTCTTAGCCAGAACACGCATCCTAGGGATCGGCGATGAGAGTTTTCATCTCTTTTGCATCTAGGGAACCACAAACCATAGGCTCATTAATTCCCTTGTCATTCCTCCTGCTTTGCTCTCCTTTCTTGTGCTTTGCAAACTAAACTGGCAAAGCTAGTGAGGAAGGTTAAAGGGTGAGTTGACCTCTGAGTTTAGGTCTGTGCCTCTCTAACCCCTTGACACTTGTACTCTCTGTTTTTGGGGACGATGGTGCTACCGTGCCTGCCGAGACCGTGGCCCCGGTGGGAAGAAATCCCTGTCCAAGCTCCGTTCATCCCTTCTCCTAGCAGCTAGCACCATGTCTGACACAGAGCAGGTGTTCAGAAAATGGCTGTGATTTGGCGAATGAATTTGTGGATCTCTGTTCCCTCTCTGGAGGGAAGCTCCTGCCGAGATCCCCCTGGAGATGGTGTATCAAGACAGAGGGGTGGAAAATCCCTCTTTCTCTCAGTTCAGCTAAGATCATGTTTTTCAGAAGTACTCTTTCCTTGTAAACCAAGTGCAAGCAGAATAAACACTGAGTACAGAAACCGGTTGGAGATTTTGCAGTATGACTCAGCGGCAGTCTGCTCTCCGATGGCTGGGCCAACTCTGGCCTCCTCCCCACTTTTCTCTCTGGGTTGAATTCTCAGGCTGCCAGGCTGAGTTTGGGTTTGGATTGGCAGGTTCTCCGGCCTTGTGGGATTCTTCGATCCCTGGGAGCACCTGCTTCCTGACATTGCAACCTTGATGGGAACTCCCTCCCAGAATTTCTTCTCGGCTGCAAGCCATTAGGTGGTAACCCTGGTGGTGATTCTTGTTAATTAAATTTAAAAAAAAATTTTTTAATGTTTTTTTATAGGATTCACAGGGTACAAAAATTTTAAATATATAATGAGTTATACCATAAAGAATCTCCCTGTCTTGTACCCCAGAAACCCAGTTCTCATTCAATACCCCCCAAAGAGAATTATTATAACAGCAGTTTATCAGACATTCTTCCAGGCCTTCTTTATGCATATGGAAGGAACATATATATGGAAAAGCAGCCGGGGACACTCAGCAATTTGTAGGAGGTCCACAGACTGGGGTCTGTATCTCCTCCTAACTTCCGGGAATAAAGTTTGCTAAAGTGTTTTGTTGCCCTACTTAATTTCCAGCAACAGCTTCAACTTTCTCCAGCTCCTTGCTTGGGGAGATGGATAGGAGGGAACAAAGCCCAGTGCATTTATATGTAATTTTTAAAATGCATACGTGCTTCGCCTGCTTGAAAATCAAGGTGCTATCTATTTCAGTTCAAAGGGCCTGTTGGAAACCAAATCACATCGCTGTTCCTGAGCAGTTAAGTTCAAAGAACAGATGTGACAACTGAGTTAATTGGTATTCTGTAAATAAAAATACATATTCTTATTTCTCTCTTATTTTTTCACAACGTAGCATATTATACACACTGTTCAGCATCTTGCATTATTTAAGACTTAATATAACCTAGATCTTTATGTACCATTAGAATTCTTCTCTCTCTCCTTTTTAACAATTGCATAAAATTCCATTGTAAGAATGAAACAATTTTTTACGAGTACTTTATTGGTGCCCATTTGTGTTGATTCCTTTATTTTGCTGCTGCAAAAACTCCGTACATATATGCAGTGACCTTGTCTAACACATAACATGCTCCGAAGTAGGACAAGTTTTGTAAGGGACAGAACCACTTAGTGATTGGCACCCTTCGCCCCCAGGACAACAGAATATTGACTTGACTGATCTGATGGGGTCTATTCTGTCCGGCTAAGTCTGTATAACAAGACCTAGCAGACAGGGTTTTGAACTCAGGATTGAGGAAAGGACACATGTCTGGTTCTCTTACTATACCCGGTCAGAAATAGTCCATTAATTAGGTTGAAGGTATAGAGAGCGGATCGCTGTGCAGATTCCTGTGTCTGGTTCCTCCTCAGTAAAGGACCGAGGATCCGAGTTCTCAGTGTGATAGAAGCATCTCCTTGCCTTCCGCTGCTCATTCTTCTCCATCACCATCTTGCTGCTCCTGGTATGGCTGCTTCTAGCTTCAGCCCTAGAAGCTTCAGTCTTTCTGCTGTGCCTTTGTCTTGGCGGCTGTGTCAAGTTCCCTCCTTAGCCTCTGCTCCTTATCAGCCAGTTTCTCCCGCAAGCTTTGTCTCCCCGTAATGCTCTGCAGAATTCTGGCCGTGGCCACAGCTGGTGGCAGCCCTGGCAGGACAGGAAGGTGCTGTACCTTCCCCTCACTGTGAGCTGCAGCCTTTCTGCCTCCCCTGATCGGTCGGGGACCATGCCTTCTCGGATTCCTCAGTTGGGTAGCGTGGTGATGCTCCCAAGTCCTGCCCTGAAAAGTCCCTGGGCAGTAATCACCTGTTAACCACGTCCAGCCTCAATTAACGATGCTCACATTTACATGGATCCCTCCTCCACTGTGCTCCGGGAGGGTTTCCCATAGCAGTTGACCTTGAAGGACTACCCTTCCCACCCTTCCCACGGGCCTCTTTCTCCTTGCACTTTACCCGAAGCATCTTAATGAGCACAGTTTCCCAGCATGGATTCCTCAGGGACACCAATTCCATAACCCATTCCTTGGTCTCAGAGCCGTGTCCATCCCTCAGCATCATGAGTACCCAAGAAGTGCTTGGGAAACTCTGTTTGGGGTAGCCCGTTATTATTAGGACTTGTTTTCCCACCTTTTGAGGAAGCTTGGCTTCTTCGCCTATGGTTCCGAGGCTTCCCAGTGGCCATGAAGACCTTGCTCGGGGGTGCCTCCCCTCTAGCAGTCAGAAACAGCCTCCCTGACTCTTCCTGTTTGAAAGCCTCCACCTGGGGCTGCCGCCTAGGTTTCTGTTTCTGCCTGAGAGAAGCCTCTAGCCTCCCAGAGCAATGATGAGCGACCGGCCCGTGACCTGCTGACTGATGAAGGTTCCCCCGCCTCTTGTCAGACCTGCCCACATCTGGGAGAGCTGCTGGGTTGTGTTTGTGGGGTGGCCTTCCAGGAGCCCGCTGTGATACTGGATTTCAAAATGCAGTATCCACCACACGCACATTGTCGGTCATGGGAAAAGGAAGGTATTTTCCTAGCTCAGCACGTGTTTGCAGCTTTCCAGGGGTCTCTCTGGTATGAGAATTTAGATCATGGAGGTCTCCCTCTTTTTCTTTGGCAATCCTGTTGCGTCTATGGTCTGCACCTAATGATACCTCGCTGTAACTTCCTGTTTCTCCTCCAGCGACATGTGAGGAACACATTCTTGTCGGGGGGAGTGAATAGCAGCAGGTGTTGTCAGAAGCCTGAGCATTTGCCCCTTCATGACCATGACTAGTGGGATGGGTCAGTGAATTCATTTGAAGTGGTGAAGAGTGTACCCCCCAGGGAACTCACCGGCTCTGGGGAGCCATAGCAATGGGGCCAGTCCCATGGTTTGTCAGAGGGAGAAGGGGGTCTGGTGCCAATACCTCTATTTTTTTAAAATTCTTTTGAGCTCTCGAGACTCTGAAATCATCTTGCAAGTGTCTTTATGAGCGTGTTCTTGATCCGCAGCACTGAGACCTCCTCCGTTTGTTCACTTCTGCATGCTTGGTGCTGGCACAATGTCTGGCACATGAAGGACAGCTCAATAAATGTTTGTGACTGGTTGAGTAAAATCTCTTTTCCCAGTTGTTGCCCCCTTGGGAGGCTTCCTCAGTTCCTCGGGGATGGGCGGCAAGACCGGCCCAACCATGGCACCAAGTTGAATGTACCGGTGGATTTGGAGGAGAGACAGGGTGGGATTATGGGGAAAGATGTTGAATTTGCAGAAGACCTGGGTTTGAATCTTAACTCTGCCACTGACTTCTTCCGAGGACCTCTCTTAGCCTCCGTTTCTTTATCTGCATAGGAGGGATAATGATTACTCTCCTCTCACACATACTTCACAGTCTTGGGTTGAGAATGTATGGCAAACCATACATGTGTTTTAAACCATAACGTCTGCCAATATGGAGGATTCCAAAATTATAGTCTTTCTCCTCTTTGCTTTTTTTTTTTTTTCCTTCGCATGAAGCCAGGTGCCTTGGCTTGCCTCTACCAACACTATTGGAATCTTCTGTGGTTGGGTCATGATCTCAGGGTCGTGAGATCGAGCCCCGTGTTGGGCTCTGTGCTGGGTGTGGAGCCTGCTTATGATTCTCTCTCTCCCTTTCTGTCCCTCCCCCTGCTCTCTCTCTCTTTCTCTCTCTCTAAAAAAAAAAAAAAACAAAAAAAAACTTCTGTGGCTGCCTGGATCCCCCGTAGGATTTCCATTGCCTGAATTCCCTAATAACTCTTGTGCAGAGGTATTACTCGAGCCTAGCACACTCCCTTCTTAGACCTGGCGTTGGCCCCTATACCACTGGCGAGCACTCCATCGTTGTCATGTGTCTATGAACTAGACACCAGGGGCTGTACCATCAAGGGCTGCTTGACGGTGTTTCTCTCTCCCCAGGAGGCTGCTGAAGAGTGAGCTTGGATCCTTCATTACAGACTATTTCCAGGTAAGCTGCGTGGGTCTGAGTATCTGCCATTATAGTGTATGTGGATGCATGTACCATTCCTTCAACATCCAAAATTATAGACACCGAGTCCCTGATACAGGCAGGGCCAGTGTGGTCCCTCCTTTTATGGAGATGATGATCTTGGGCAGCAGTTCTCGGGCTTTTTTAGTCTCAGGACTCCTTTATGCTCTTAAAAATGACCACTTATTTGGGTTATCTCTGTCTTCACCATATTGGAAATGAAACCCAAGAAACTTTAAGATATTTAATTCATTTAAGTAATAAACCTATTACACATTAGCCTAAGCAGCATTTTCATGAAAGATGGCTTTTTTAGAATAAAAAACAAAACAAAACAAAACAGAAGAGCGGCATTGTTTCATGCTTGCAAATCTCTGCACCGTCTGGCTCCAGAGGAGGTAGCTGGATCCTCATATCTGTTTCTCATTCAGTCTGTTGCGGTACTGCACATCATGTAGTCTCTGGAAAATTGCACGGTACACCCATGGAGGATGCAAGGAAAAGGGCAAGTTGTGGCTTCGGGTTACTGAGGAAATAGTTTTGACCATGTGGAAAAGGTCTAAGGATCTCTTGTGGGACCCCAAACCACACTTTGAGAATTGCTGCTTTAGTGACCTTCCCTCCCACCCCCATGGATGGCATCTAAATCACTGTAACTATAGGTACCCTTCAGCCAAGTTGTTTCTGGTCGCTAAGCCTCCCGGTCTGTCCTGTTAAAGATGATTGGATCAGGGGATCTGACGTCCCTCCTGCCAAAACCCTGTTGTTACGGGGCTATTGAACTCAAGGTTCCAGTCTCACTTAGAGGATGGTCTCTAATCCACTGATACAGGTTGTTTTCCTGATTCTAACCACAGGCACATGGGGATGGGGGAGGGCATGGGGACGTGTTGTTTGAGTAACTCACTGGGTGACACTTCGGTGAAGTCAGAGTTCCTGTTTTCGGTCTCGGGCAAAATGCCTTGTTTTCCCCATCTGTAAAATGGGAATAAAAATATGACCTACCTTAGAGGTCTTTGTATGGTTTACATGAAATGACATCCGTAAAGTACTCAGCACATAGTGTGTGGGGAGGGAAGTGGGGGGACAGAGTGGGGGAGTGGTCAAGATCATGCCCCCTAAAGCCAGACTACCTGGGTTCAGTGCCCAGCATAGCCACGTACTAGCTGTGTGACCCTGAGCAATTTGCTTTACCTCTCTGTGTTTTAGTTTTCTGTTCTAGAAAAACAAGGGTAATAGGACCAAACCTTATAAGGTTGTTGTGAGGTTATTATTTGTTAAGTGTCAAGAACAGTGACGAGCACAGAGGAAGACAGAGTAATGTGGTCATTCAATTTATACGTGTGCATATTTGTTATTCTAAGATGTCATCCATCCCTTTTAATGGGAAAGTAACATAAAAACAGAAAACATCTTGGTTTCAGGTTGGTGATGTCATTCCATATCCAAGGAGAACATAATTTTAGGACCGTTTAAAGAGTTTTTAGGTCTTAAAAACAACACAGGCATTCTTTTTTTTTTTTTTTACCAAGATTCAGGAAGCTTAAACTTTTATGTGCACTTTTTTTTTTAAGATTTTTTATTTATTTATTTGACAGAGAGAGCACACAAGCAGGAAAGCAGCAGGGGGAGGGGGAGGGGGAGGCAGAAGCAGGCTCCCTGCTGAGCAGGGAGCCTGATGCGGGGCTCCATCCCAGGACCCTGGGATCACGACCTGAGCCGAAGGCAGACGCTTAACCTACTGAGCCACCCAGGCACCCCTTACGTGCACTTTTAAAGAATGACAGATGTCAGTCCTTTAAAACACACACACACACACACGTGTGCATGCACATGCACGCACGCACATGCACAGAGCAGAAAATGGTCACTATAAATCTGGACAAAGCAAGACTCAACGGAAGCCTGGAATTCAGTTGGCTCAGATGTCTCAGCTGCTGGAAAGAAGGCCCCGGTCCAGGGAGAGACAAACGTAAGGATTAAGAAAGAGGTAATTAGTTACAAATGTGAATCATCTCTGTTGCCCTTGACTCAAAGGTCAGTCTTGTCTTCAGCTTCTCCTCTTGCTGTCTGTAGGGATTGATTTTTAAATCCAACCCCAGAGAAGTGGTTTTTCAATCAGTCCTGGAGGAACCTGCCCAGCCGGCCGCCTTCCTCGTTGACATTTAAAATAGACAGCGTTTGGTGTGGTTTCAATCGGGTTTTAAATGTCAGTTGTCTTTTGGCATGGGGGGCTTACCCCTAGGACGGGTGGGGAAGGGCATTTGGGTGGGGACTTGTTTATCTGGGAAGCCCTGAGGTTTTTGGGGGCGGTTAATGCTACTTACAGATTATGCCAAACACTTAACTAATAACCACACGTCATTTTTTTTTTCTATGGAGAGCTTAATCAGACAAACTGCTTGGTGAATAGTGAGTCTCTGAGAGTGTGGGGTAGGAACTGGTTTTCACAGTTTTGAATCTGGGTTTTTCCTTAGTGTAAGGTACTAGATGGGAGAGAGAGCTAGCCTGGACGCTGTCGAGCTGTCTGCTTAAATGTAGGTCTTAAGTCTCATGTAAGGAGCAGAGCCCTTTTTAAAAAAGGTGTCTGGTTCCCCAGTTCCTGGAAGGTACCTGGCATAGAGTAGACGCTCAGTAAAGTTTCTTAGGGGAGAGGGAGATAGATGATTTTAGGTGGTAGAGGCAGGGGCGTTAAATAACATTCACCTTCGGGGCTGGAAATTATTTCCCTTCTCTTTCCTTTAGCGCTGCTGATTGTGCCAGAGAGTGTCTTGGTTTGCACCAGTGTCTTTGACACTTCTGCAGGACTTGGCGATCGTGTTTCAGGAAGACAGAGCAGACCTCAACTGTAGAGCCTTCAGCTAGGGACACTAATTAGGATTTCATAACTTTTTTTTTTTTTTGCACTGAGTTGATGGTTGAGTTACATTCTATTTATGGCACCTGATGTTACTATAGTTTCATTTTTAGACATATGTATGTTTTAAAAACAGATGGATTTAAGAAAAATAGTCTGCAAAGAGTAACAGTTTAGGCGGCCCCGGCTATGGCCAAATGCTGAAGGTGTTCAAGAGAGACTCGGGTTTGGAGAGCCCCGTGCTAGGCACCTCTTGAAAATGGGCTGGTCCCAAAGCCACGCCAAGTCAAGAACTCTCCATGAGGGAGGATGGAGGGGAGGAGGGGCATCCAGGAGAGAGGGTTCTAGAGGCCAGCCTTCACATTCCACTGGCAGATGGAAAGTCTGAATGGGCTCCAGGAAGAACATTCCTCCAGCAAGGAGGAGGGCAGAAGGTCTGGGGACGAATAAGGAACAGAACCCAGGGGTGGACAGGGAAGACCCCAACACCATGGATGTGGCTGTTGGTGAAGATGATGAATGGGCTCCTTGGGCACTGGGCTTCTCTATGTGGAGGATCAGATGGCCTCCTCCTGGGCATCTGCATTTAGCAGTGGACTCCCATCTCCTGGGACCCAGACCCCCAACCCAGACATCTCTACTTACAAAGCCTTCTTTATGACGCTGCTTCTGAAAGTGAATATTCTCATTTTGTAGCTTTAAAGAAAGAGTCACAAAAGAATATCTTCAGCGAAGAATAATGAAAATGACCTGAGGTGAAGGCAGAGGGGAAGCAGGTGGAAAAACAGTACTTATCTTGTGTCTACACACACACAGGAGACAGGCGTCTGAGCCACAGAAGCACAGATAGATTTCCAGAAGACACTGACCCCCCCCAAAATCTGACATTTCCAGTATTTTCTTTTTCCCTCTGTTTTGCATTGCACCTGGAAGGAGGGTTGGGGTTTCCCAGGGGAACTCTGTATCATGGAGACAGCTCTGTGGGAAAATTCGTTCCTTATAAGTTTGGAAACCAATGATATGAAATGTTGTGCATTTTTCTATCACCTAATTAGCAGTTAACCACCTTGGTGGTGCAGGGCATGGGGATGCGAGGGGTTGCAGATAGCGTTTTCTGTGTTCCTATATCTGCTGGCATTGCCGTGGCTGCTGCAAGCTTTCCCCTAAGCCCAGAAAGTTAAATTCCTTTTGATTTTGCTTGATACAGAAACTCTGGGGCGCCTGGGTGGCTCAGTCGTTAAGTGTCCGCCTTCAGCTCAGGTCATGGTCCCAAGCGAGCCCCGCATCAGGCTCCCTGCTCTGCAGGAAGCCTGCTTCTCCCTCTCCCACTCCCCCTGCTTGTGTTCCCTCTCTCGCTGACTCCCTCTGTCAAATAAATAAATAAATAAATAAAATCTTAAAAAGAAAGAAAGAAACTGTCTATCATCAGTGGCTCTGAATGAGATAGTACCTAGGAAAGGGGGAAATTTAGTCACCCTAATGCCTAAAGGTGATGGATGGCCTGGTAACGTTTAATGTAAATACCTCCCCCCTACTACCCATATCTGTGAGAGTCCCAGGAGGCCAGTTTCCTCCTTAGCTCTTCATTATCAGGGAAGATTCACTGAGGGTTTATGGCAGAGCCAAAGAAGGAAACATCGAAGCATCGCGGCCACTGTGGAGTTGGAGATTGCAGGCAGAACGGGGATATAGATGCATACCACACTGTGTCGTGTTAACTGAAAACCCGAATGGATGGTAAAGGCTTCCAAAGAGGCCCAGAATAAGTAGATTTTGTAGGGGCAAAGATGGGACTGGTTAGAATCCACAGCTAGCTGGGTGGAGAGATGATAAAGAATGGGGAAAATCACTTGTGTGTGATTTTTTTTTTCCCCCAAACCCAAATGGAATAGAGGAGAAAAGTTTCAGCTCCTCTTTGGTCAGCCTGGGAAGTCTTCTCCAACTGATGGGATTCCCCAAATAGAAAAAGATGATCAGGTGGACAGAGGGTAGCAAGGGATGGGGTGTTGAACAAGCTGAGCTCCCGCGGAAAGACAAGGAAGAGGGGAGGGGATGATGCCTTTAGGTGAGAACATCGTTACAGGTTGTGTTTCAGATTTGGCCAATACTTGGAAGAAAGGCA